AAGTTTTTTTTTAATCTCTACTTTTATGTCAAAATAGTGACATTCAGAAACTTCAGTAAAACTGAAGAACCAAGTATAAACCAAGTTTATTCATTATTCTTAACAAAAACTAAAGAAAATTTGTCAAGAACAGAACTGCAAGTAATCACAAATACTTTTAGGGAAAAAAAGGGAATATACAAGAATTGGGTATACAGTCTCCCCTCCTCCCAGTGAATACATAAATTTAAAAGATAAAGGAAGTATGATAAAAAACAACACCACAGTCAAAATGGTATCAGAGTTTGTTTCCTATTCTTGTAAATGTGAAGAGATTCTTATAAGGTATAATGTTAACACATAATAGAAAAATAATTCTATAACCTACTTTACTTTCAACTATCTTATTAAAGAGGACTACAGCATCTAAACAACTATTATTAAAAAACTAATATATAGCTGGGCATGGTGGTACATGCCCCTAATCCCAGCAACTTGAATAAGAGGATCACAAGTTCAAAGCCAGCCTCTTCAACTTAGCAAGGCCCTGTCTCAAAATTAAAAATGACTACTGTCATGTGTAATAACTAAAAAGAACCAATAAAATAAAATCATAAATAAAAAAAATTGAAAAGGGCTAGGAATGTGGCTTAGGGTTAAGCACAAAAGGGCTTGGAATGTAGCTTAGGGTTAAGCACACCTGGTACGCCTCCCCCAAAAAATGATCTTTAGAAGAATATTATCTCCATTCTGCACAACTTACTTCCCCTCTCTTACAGCACCCCCTCCAAATGGTTGCAACAAATGATTTTGTACTCAGTTTCAAAGGTTCACCTTTCTGTTAATATTGTAAGAACATCAGAGAGGTAAGAGAGAAAAAAATGATAAAAGAAATAATGTAACAAATGTTCCAGAACTGGAGAAAATAAGGACAATCTGTAAATTCTCAAGAACAAGAATTCCACCAAACTAGAACTATTACAAAATGGAACAATGCTCTCAACTAAGAAAAAAATTATTCTGAACCAAGATTTTGATAACCAAATTATTAAATCAAATTGGGTTTTTCAGATATACAATGTAAAAAAAAAATGTGACTATGTTGTACCAAAACAAATAAAGTATTTTCAATTGGACCTGGAATACAAGAAACAGAAGGTCTAACACAAAAAAGAAGTGAAGGGAATTCCCAAGGTGATAGCAATGCAAAGTCCCAGGAGCACAGCTCTGTAAAAAGCAGAAAGGCAAATCAGACGAAGTCGGGTGGCACAGGCCTGCAATCCCAGCAACTTGGGAGGCTAAAGCAGGTGGATTCAAATGCCAGGCCAGCCTCAGCAATTTGACAGGCCCTAAGCAATTCAGTGAGACCCTGTCTCAAAATCAAAAATAAAAAGTAGCTCAGTGGTGGGGCTTGGATTGTGGCTCAGAGGTAATGCGCTCACCTAACATGAGTGAGGAACTGGATTCGATCCTCAGCACCACGTAAATATAAAATAAAGATATTGTGTCCACCTATAACTAAAAAAATAAATATAAAAAAAAAGTAGCTCGGTGGTAAAGTGCCTCTAGGTTCAATTCCCAGTACTCAAACAAATGAAAAAAAGGTTAGTACAGTGGCTATAATCCCAGCTACCCAGAAGGCTGAAATAGGAGGGATAGATTATGCCCAAGAGTTCAAGGCCAGCCAGCCCAGGCAACATGGAGAAAAATCCCTCAAAGAAAAAGATTTTTTTAAAAAAACAGAGCTGGGGTTGTGGCTCAGCAGTAGAGAGCTCACCTCTCACAAGTGAGGCCCTGGGTTTGATCCTCAGCACCACATAAAAACAAATAAATAAAATAAAGGTAATGTGTTCAACTACAAAAAATAAATAGTTTTTAAAAATCTTTTTAAAATGAAATTGTGGGATAGGTGACCTGTTTGATCACACTTAAAAGAGTTTAAATTGCTGAGTTGGAATAAAGAATCTATATGATACATTATAAACAAATGGAAAAAAATTAACTCCAGGAAAAATAAAACTATATAACAAAAGTAACTCAAATACAAAAATATTCAACTTATCATCACATAAATGCTAAATATTCATTTAGCCAAAAGCTGCAATAACAATACAGGCAAAACGAGGGGTGATCAAATGCCTATACTGGAGATGTACAACAGAATGCCAGTAAATAAGGGAGAGAGGATCAAGACATAAAAGTATACATGTATGTTACTCAAAAGTATGAAGTACAGCCGGGTGAGGTGGTGCATGCCTGTAATCCTAGTGGTGAGACTCAGACAGGAGGATCACAAGTTCAAAACCAGCCTGAGCAAAAGCAAGGCACTAAGCAACTCAGTGAGACCCTATCTCTAAATAAAATACAAAATAGGGCTGGGGATGTGACTCAGTGGTCAAGTGCCCCTGAGTTCAATCCCAGGTACCCCGCTGCCTGCCCCCCCAAAGTAAGTACAGATGTAAATGGTAGAAAAATAACTAAGAACTGTCCAGTAGCTTCTGAATCAGTAGAATGGGAAGCCAACTACACTGAATCTAACAAAACTAAACAGAAGCAATTTGGAAACAGAAGAACTATAGAAAGAATGACATTTTCAACAAGGACAAAGCAAAAGAGAAGAAAAATGACAAAATGAGCCCAGCATGGTGGCACATACCTTGGAATCCAGCAAAGCTGGAAGTCCACAAAACTGAGGGAAGCCTCTGCAACTTAGCAAGACCCAGAATCATAATAAAATGTAAAAAGGGTTGGGGACACAGCTCAATAGTAAAGTGTCACTAGGTTCAATGGGAGGGAAGGAAGAAGGAAAGGAAAGAGGAGGGGAGGGAAGAAAGGAAGGAAAGTAAATTAGCAGGATGAACAAATGAAAGTACAAAGACTGGGAAGATATGAGATTACAGACACATCAACACACTCCAGAATTTGGACATCCTAGAAAGCATGGCCAGTTCAAAGATGGCCAGACTCTGCCAAATTGGAAGAAAAGAAGACATTAATCCCTTTCTATTCTTTACAGCCATTGCCCTGGCCACAATCGCCCTTCCAAGCTATCTGAAGCACCCTAATTTGTCATTTCACTCAGAACTAACTTTAGAGAAGAGCTTCACATGTTTCAAAGTTACTCACTTAGCTAATCCATATTCCATTGAAACCCTCAGATTCTAAGATAAAGGATTTCATCTTGTTTGAGGAAACACACATGACCAAAATAATATACTCTTTTAAGTGTAAAAAAGGGGTGGCCATAATAATCAATTCTAAATATTTTGCCCCCACCCCACTTTATTTGATGGAAAAGCTACATAGTTCAAAAACCATTCTAACTTCTGTTTAGTCCAGTGATTCTTAATCTTCTAAGAATCCCAAGGAAGCTCTAAAATTGCTTCAATTTCAGGAGTTACAGAAACCCTCCCAAGGGGCTGAGGATGTGGCTCAAGCGGTAGCGCGATGGCCTGGCATGCGTGCGGCCCAGGTTCGATCCTCCAGCACCACATACAAACAAAGATGTTGTGTCCGCCAATAACTAATAAATAAATAAATTTAAAAAAAAAAAAGAAACCCTCCCAATAAAGTTTAGTTTAATATAAACAAAGTTGAATCCTGCTGAGCCACCTATCTGGTATCTTAACCTCTGCAAGTCTCGAAACCCAATGGCTTGTTGGTTGTGAAAAACAAGCTCAGCGTAATTATGGTGAAACACACACACACACACACAATTATGTTACTGTTATAATCATGATCATCCATAAGTTTCTTTAAAAAAATATTATTTAGGCTGGGGATGTGGCTCAAGCGGTAGCGCGCTCGCCTGGCATGCGTGCGGCCCGGGTTCCATCCTCAGCACCACATACCAACAAAGATGTTGTGTCCGCCGAGAACTAAAAAATAAATATTAAAAATTCTCTCTCTCTTTAAAAAAAAATATATATTATTTATAGATATATTCTCATAGGTTCTTGCCCAAAACAGACCTTGAGTTAATGTCCCTTTAACCGTACTAAAAATAACTGAAGCTAACGTTTATTTAGTACTATACTCAAGCACTGCCCTAAATGTTTAACATAGATCATCCTAATTCAATCAATGTCACCAGTCAATTTTATTGATGAAAAGTTTAACATGTCTCAAATTCCAATATAAATGGTAAAGGTGTGACAATTGAACCCCAAACTGACTCAAGATCCTGTGCACATCCACCTTTGATGGCTTTCTCTTTATTCTCCACATCCAATTACTAGTTTAGTTAAACCCAAAATACATCTAACACATTACTTAAAAAAGGGAAAAATGCCATAAGAGCAAGTGTATGAGAAAGCTTAAAAAACCATTGAACAGTATCTGTAAGAAATTTAAAGTTCCAGAGATTTCCCTTTAAAATTAAGGGGGGGGTGGGGTAAAGCAGTTCCCAAAGAGGTACGGGGGGGGGGGGGGGAGAGGAAAAAGTCGTTCACAAAAGCACAGCAATATAAGCCTCGAAATCAGGGCCTTCCTGGGTTGTTCGCGCTGCGGGACTGCAGATACGACTGCTCCTGCTCTGGTCCGCCAGACGCCCACCATGTCACCCACTCTGGCGATGAAAGCCCACCGTGGAGCTGCGTCAGTTCCGACCGGGTCTCACCCTCCGCCGCAGGGTGTTCGGGAGACGGAAAGAACCCGGTGGCTGTGGCATTGGGAGCGCCAACTGGGGGCCGGCGGACGCCCCAACACCGGGGAGGAGGCCGCGAGGGCCCAGCACGCTAAAGGCCAGGGCAGAGCTGGCCCAGGCGGGCCCGCGGGTGAGGACGGTGGGGAGAGGGCCAGGAGGAAGAGGTAACCCCGGCGCCCGGAGCCTCCCGCCCTCCACGGCACTCCTCACGCCTCCACCCTGCGCTCGAGAGCGCCACGCCGCCCCCCGGGGCGCGCCAGCCGGCCGGCGCCTCCACGTTCGAAAAGCGCCAGGCAGCGGCGGCCGCCGGGAGCCATGACGCCGGCGCCGCGGCCGGGACCCGAAAAGGCCGCCGGTCTTTCCCGGACCCACTCACCTCTCGCGGCGACGGGGCGGAACCCTGCACGGAGGCGATATACCGCTCCACGTCGGCCTTGCTGCGCCTCATCGCGCCGCCGACCGGGCTCCCGGAGCGCGGGAAGGCCGACCCGAGGCCCCGCGGCAGGCTGTCTCCAGGAGCTCAGTGCCTGAAACCCCGTGACGCAGCGTCGTGGCCGGCGGAGGGGCGGGCCGGCGTGCGTGCGTCTGGCGCCAGTCGTGTGCGCCACGCCGTCGACGGCGGCGTCCCCGGAGCGCACGCCGGCCCGCCCACCCCGCCTGCGGCTCGGCGCGCCATTCCTCCAACGCTGGGGGTGGGGTCTAGGTCGAGTGCGCCCGGTGAGGCGGGAAGAGAGGCTCAGCGCCACGAGGTACCTGTCTCCCTTCTGGATTCTGTAAAATTCTGCTGATTGGTTCCGGATGCCGTGCGATACCGTATCAATAAAAAAGAGGCCGTTTGGGTCGAGCGCGAAAGTGGAAACGACCTTTCTAGAAGCGGTTGGTTCAGTGGGGTGTGCCCGGCGTGTGAGTGTGGAGCACGCCTTTCAGTTCCTGCTTCTGAAAGGAATCGGGTGCGTGAGGAACTTGAAAGTGAACGACAGCTGTGGGTTCCGACAGTGACACTGTCAGAGGCGTGTGGGGGGTGCCCTCCGTCTTTCATATTTTACAGCAGAACGACATTAACAGTATGAGTTTTGAGATTTTTGAGTCACTTGTATTTTCCGAATCTTCAGGAAGGCTTACTTTAGGAATTTGCATTTTAAAATCTTAGCTTCAGACAAGATCTGTCAAATGTTCCCAAAGGTGAGACCGTTTTAGACAGGGGCTGTGCTAGAGCGTGTGGCTAGCACCGGTGTGCGATGGGGTTTGACCCTCAGCACCGCATAGCAATAAATAAGTAAGTAAAGGTACTGTGTCCATCTACAACTAAAAACAAAAAAACACAATTTAAAAGAAAAAAGTATGATTCTGTGGGAAAACATCAAACATGTTGATATTTTAAATAGAAATTTAGGATGTTCTGGTTATGAACGATTTTTGCCTATTTTTGTCTTTCCATATTATCCAAATCTTCTACAATGAATAAGCATGGCCTTTCTAAATGATGAAAAATGGCATTTTGTCTCATGTAAAAGGAAAAGATGATTCCAAGATTAACAGTGTAACTGAAATCACAATAAAAACATTAACAGAAATAACATTTAAAAAGGCTAGTTTGGTATGGAGTTGATTTACTTCACTTGAGGTGGCAGGCATATATCTAACTGGACATGACTTAGGAGGTAGAAGAAATGGCAGGACAAATAGCTGTGGTGGACATGGAAGTCACAAGCCTCAAGTGATAGTGAAACCATGCCTTAGAAAAGGTGTTAATAACAATAGCCAGTGCTAAAAAACAAGCACTTGGTTGTATTCCATGCTCTTTTCTTAGCACTTCACATTTAACTCATTCCCAATTACTGTGAAAGTGTACTTTTATTTCTTAGTATCCTCAGTTATAGATAAGGAAACCAAAAGAATGAGCAGTAAAGCAACTTTAACCATATTCCTAATTTAAAATGGTATCATCAATCTTTGAATATACTGAGAAGGAGTGGGCCAAGAGAATCTCAAGGAACTCTTTGGACTTGCGGTTTAGCTCAGTGGTAGAGTGATTGTATAGCATGCACAAGGCCCCAGGTTCAAAACCCAGCTCCAAAAAAAGACTTTTTTTTTTTTTTAAACAAAACCATTCATATTTCTGCATTAATTGGGGGATTTTCACATTTATTTAACACAAGTTTTGTTTGTCAAGTGACATGACATCTCCACTAAGGCACTGAAAGTTTCATTTTCATCATCATTTAGTTGTTGCAGGAATCAGACAAGAAGCGGCACTTGGAGAGAACCAGAGATCACACTACAAATTCTGAGCCCCCTTCTTTAGTTCTTACAAGTCTATTAAGAGGCTATCCACTGCCATAAAATTTCTAGTATGCACAATATATGGTCATGCGCAGGGTTTCTAGCAGGAAGCATGTTTACAGAAGCAGAGGGCAGTAAGAACTGGCTTCTCTCACAGGGCCTTAGATAAATCTGTATCCTCAACAGGGACATTTACACTTCAAAGGGAAGTAGTTAGATTCCTAAGGGTAGTTATTCACAATCCAAGAGATAGAGGTCTATTGTGTTAATTAGGTTTTCTGAAGAAGAGCTGACCAGAAAAGGGAGGGAAACTCTCCCTTTCCTAGGCACTAATTCTCAAAACAGTGTTCTTATAGTTTATCTTACATCCAGACCTGGTTTTGCCATCCATCACACAGTAACATAAAAACAGGGATCCTAGACTTAAAATTTTTCAACTTTACAATAGTGCAAAAGTGATACACATTCAGTAGAAACCTAACTTCAAATTTTGAATTTTGATCTATCAGCTAGCAATATGAGATATTATCCGCTCTCACGATTCCCACCTGTGGGCTAATTAAATGTTGTTAGCATGTTTAAGGTTGGCTAGGTTAAGTTATAATGGTCATGATTTAAGGGTAATAAAATGCACTTCTAATTTAGGATATTTTAATCTATTGGGATGTCACCCCATTGTAAGTCAAAGAGCGTCTGTATTTAATTTTGCAAATACATTTTTCCAGCTTCCTGTAGGTTTAATTGACAAAATGTATTTATGATATACAATGGATGTTTTGGATGTTTGGGTTTTAAGAAAATTTTTGTTGTTTGTTTGTTTGTTTTTGATACTGGGGATTGAACCCAGGGGTACTTAACCACTGAACCACATCCCTAGCCCCTTTTTGTATTTTATTAGAGACAGAGTCTTGCTGAGTTGCTTATGGCTTCACTAAGTTACTAAGGCTGGTTTTGAACTCAAAATCCTTCTGCCTCAGCCTCCTGGGCTGCTGGGATTACAGGTGTGTGCCAAGGCGCCCAGCACAATGTGATGTTTTGATATATATGAGATGCATATCACAATCAAGATAATAAACACATTCATCACCTCACATAGTTATCCTTTGTTGTCTGTGTGTATGTGGTAAAAACATTTAAAATCTACTGTCTTAGTAGTTTTCAAAAAAAACAATACATTAAATATTGTCATCATATAATACATAACTCCAGAATATATTCATTCTGTCTTAACTAGTTAACTTTATACCCTTAAAGCAACATCTGTTCCCACCACCACCACCACCAGCCCACCAGCCCTTGGCAACTAACTACCACTCTGCTTCTAAGAATTCAGCATGTGAGATCATGCAGTGTTTGTCATTCTATGCCTGACATATTTTGCTTAGTATAATGTCCTCCAAATTCGTCCATGTTTTTCCAAATTACAAGATTTTTTCCCTTTCATGTATGCATGTGTGTATGGTATGTATACATGGGAGTGCACATACATCCTCAACATATGGATTTCATTTCCTTGGATGTGTACTCAGAATTGGGATTTCTGTATCACATGGTTGGTTACCCAGAATTGGGATTTCTGTATCACGTGGTATTTCTTTTTCACATTTTTTAAAGAACCTCACACCATACTGTCTTCTGTAATGTGCTGATTTACATTCTCACTCTTGCACTCTTTTCTCCATATCCTTACCATCAGTACTTATTACTTTTTTTGTCCTTTTCTTTTGGTACCAAGTATTGAACCCAGATGCACTTAGCCATTGAACCATATCCCCAGCTCGCTCTATCTATCTATCTATCTATCTATCTATCTATCTGTTTTAAGACAGGGTCTTGTGAAGTTGTTTAGGGCCTCATTAAATTGCTGAGGCAGTTTTTTGGATCCTCCTACCTCAGCCTCCCCACCATGCCTGGCTTATATTTTGTCTTTTTGGTGAAATTTATTTTAACAGGTATGAAGTGATTCCTCACAGCTTTAATTTGCTTTTCCCTGGTGATTTCTGATGTCAACCATTCATATACCTGTTGGTCATTTGTAAGATCTTTTGATTAATGTCTATTCAGGTTTTTTGCCCATTTATTTTTATTTTATTCATTTATTTATTTATTGTGGTGCTAGAGATTGAACCCAGGACTTTTTTTTTTTTTTTTTTTTTTTTTTTTTTTTTTTTTTTTTTTTTTTNTTTTTTTTGTCCTGGGGGTTGAACTTAGGGGCACTCAACCACTGAGCCACATCCCCAGCCCCATTTTGTATTTTATTAGAGACAGGGTCTCACTGAGTTACTTAGTGCCTTGCTTTTTGCTGAGGCTAACTTTGAACTTGATATCCTCCTGTCTCAGCTTCCCAAGCTGCTGGGATTACAGGTGTGCACCACTGCATGTGGCTGAACCCAGAATCTTTCACATGCTAAACAAGTACATGCTATACCCTCTGTGGTATGTTTTGCTGTGCTATGTTTTTATTGTTTTTGTTCTAGACTTTGCCAATTAATTAGTCGGGTTTTTTTTCTCTTCAGTTGAATTCCTTATGTATTTTTTTAAAAAATTTTAGATATTGATGAACCTTTATTTTATTAATTTATTTATATGCAGTTCTGAGAATCCAATCTAGTGCCTCACACATGCTAGGCAAGCACTCTACCACTGAGCCACAACTCCAGCCATCCTTATGTATTTTTGATACTAATACCTTCACATGTATTGTTTCTCATATTTTCTCTCAATATGTTTGTTGTCTCTTCACTGTTCATGATTCACTTTGCTGTGTAGAAGCTTTTTAGTCTAATGGAATCCCTCTTGCCTATTTTTGCTTTTTTGTCCTTGTGCTTGTGAAAATCATTGACCACACCAATGTCGAGCAGGTTTTGCCCAGTGGTTTTCATCTAGTCATGTTCCAGATATGCATAAGTGTTCCGTCCACTTCAGGTTGATTTTGTGTATGGTGTGAGATAAAGGTTCAGTTTAGTTCTGCATATGGATATACAATTTTCCAAAAACTCTTCTTTGAAGAGACATCTTTCCCCCACTTTCACCCATCGTGTGGTCTTGGCACTATTGTTGAAGATCAAGTGGCCATATAACTGCACAGATTTATTTCTGTTCTCTCAATTCTGTTCCTTTGGTTAGTATGTCAGTTTTCTTGCCAGTGCCATTCTATTTTGATTACTGTATCGTTGTCACATGTTTTAAAATCAGGTACTGTGATGCTTACAACTTTGTTTTGTTGTTGTGTGCTGTGCTATGTG